AGTGGAAAGTGAGTGGTTACATATTTTCATTACATATTTGAGACCATATGTATGAAATGAGATATTTTCAAGCACTTTAAATATGGTCGATAGCCTAATTATGGTGTAAACATGGTCTTACAATTAGGTTCAAACAAGACACGTCAATCAATTTCTTTAATATCCATCCGTGCATTTAATATAAATATTAATGAAGTTTCACAGAAAAATCATACGTACTATTTTATATTTACCACAGATCCAATATTCGTTTCAAAATGTATACTGGAGGAAAAATAAGTCTTATCATATAAATGCAAATACACTATAAATAGCACAAAGTATAATACATTTGTGTCTAGCCCCAAATTGAGTTAATCATGTGGTAAGTGTTATGTTTCAAAACAAAAATTATTAATAGAGTCCTGAATTAAAGACCAAATTAGTTTACCAAAGATAAAAACTAATTTGTCTAAGATACCAATTGAATATACGAGTTAATGTGGGAAATACATGTCACATCTCTTTGTACAACTAGCATTCACAAAAATTAAATTAGATGCAATTGCATTTATATTTAATATATAAAACAAAACAAATCACTGTATAAAGAACAGTATCACAATTCGTTACAAGGATAAAATTAAAAACGTTAGACCAGGAAGCGCAAACTGCTCTCAGACAAATTAAAATAACTCCAGAACAACTGAGAAAGCGAAGTGACTTAATTGAAATTGCATTTTATTCAGCAAACTGGATTAAATTAAAATCGGCAACAGTGAGATAGAAAATGTCTTGAGTTTGGCCAGAGAAGGAGTAATACAAGGAATACTCTCGAGGGCGTAAGGGTTGGTAATTTCGACGTTGGATTCGAAACAAAAACAGGGCTAGTGGACAGAACCCGTAATTAAGGGCTGTTTGGGACGAGGGGCTTGGGGGGGGGGCTCAGTATTTTTCACTTAAGATGACTTCACAACAGATTTCTCGGTTTGGACATCTTTACTCACACTTGCTGTTTTAATTGCCTCTCGTTTTTCTGGATTCGAAATTTTAGTAATATTTACCTACCTTAAACTTGAATGTTTTGCATTTGGTAATTGAAAATATGTTTTTCCTATCACTTTTTTTGGGGGGGGGAGAGGGGGGGGTATAAAAGACAGTTTACCGTATAAATCAACGACAAATAAGTTTATTTTAAATTGATTGATGTACAGTACATAATTATTTATTATAGAAGAAAGCGGACCATTAATTTAGACAGTATAGTAATTTTATGATGTTATAAACCACAAATTGTATAAAAAAAATGTTATATAAGAATGTAATAATGAAATGACTTCCTTTTGTTAAGTTATCATAATTATTGTTGATTATTATTTATTATCTATAATTATTGTTATTTATTATTTATAATTGGTGCTTATTAAATTGTGCACGTATAATCTGCTACACTTATATTGTTATTTATTAGTAAAATATATGTATTTTTCAGATAACCAAATGATGGTATGAGAGTTTTTAATGAATGATGCTAGACATAAAATCTGTTCTAATTTATTGTTTATTTATTTGTTATAAATGGTCGCACTGCTTGAAAAGCGGCCAGTCAATTTCCAAACACTGACAATGTCTGTAATAATTTTTTACTCAATGGAAAAAATTAATTTATTCATATTTCCACAGCAAATAGTTAGCACTAGAGAAACTTACTAGTCCGTGAGGGTTTAAAGAGATCATTAAAATTTAATGACACAGCGCCTAGGACACTACTGCGTTATTCATAAAATTAATTTTTAGTGACTTGCCAGACGTATTGTTGGATGAAAATTTAGCAGATAGCTATTGTTTGATCACGCTAAAATTAATTTAGCAATTTTGTTTAAAATTGAACAATTTATTAATCTCTAACATCAACAAGATTTCAAAATCCAAATATATGACGTGTAAATTTACCGTAGCATCTGCCATGACGTGATTAACTCTATGGACTCGCTTGCCGATACAAGCACGTACTGGTCACTACACAGCAAATCACTTGTTACCCCCACCACCTCCAATTTACCGCCCTCTGACCCTCAACAGCAAATATTTACGCCTGATCGTCACTTGGAGAGCCCTCATTGCCTCTCCAGATAACATACGAACTCCTTCATCTTGCCGACGACGTCTGTTTAGCCTTTACTAATTCTATTGTAGGTTTTGTTGAATTTTACAAATATCTTTCACAAATATCTATACACAGGTAATTTCTGTTTAGGTTTGTTACCTAAGGTTTTTTCCTTAACACTGGATCCAGCTCATCTTGATCATTTAAAACCCAAGGTTTTGAGTAAAGAAACAGCTTATCTAACTCAACCACAAATCTATCACTCACTCCATACTACTTGTATCCTCTATATTCTATATTGTATCTATATATATTGTGTTACTTGTATATTCGTGTTAAATTACGTACCTAGTTAGCGTAGCTGTCTCAAAGTGAGATGAGGATAATTTTACAGCTCGTATTTACGGCTATTAAAATAATTTCAAATCACAATTCCACTATAACACTGTAAAAAAATGTGATGTTAATTTGAGTCCCAGACAGCGAGCGCTGGTGTCAATTACTTGTATATTGTCAAGTTACTCTTAAACCAATCCAAATTGTAAGGACACCTTTTGTGTCAAATCGACAACACTGAAACAAAAACAAGGAAAAAATAACCAACCCTCTGTGAGAGAATAAATTTTACATATCATAGCAGTGTGTGTGTGTGTGTGTGTGTTGCTTGCCTAGTTGTTAGCTAGCCTTCAAACTTCGGTGTACGAGGGACGGTTTCGGTTCCCGGTGTATCAAAATTTGAGAATTTGGTTCCTTTCATTTTAAAGGACAAAGATGTGGGTACATTACAACTGACAATACTATCGTGTTTTACACAAAAGGCATTATCAAATTTTCTAAATTAAAGTTCTATTGCAACTGGATCTGATTTTTACAGTCCCTAACGAGGGAACCTGATCAGTTCCCACATCCTGTAGCGGGTGATTGGCGAAGAAACTCTGCAATTAATGCGAGCAGCGGAAGCGAGCTCACCAATTATCCGATCATTTCCATGATAATCTGCGGATATCAGAACTCCCTCCTCTGGTTTACAGCACTCACGGATCTTGCGAGTAAGTAAAAATGCTTTGTTTGAAAAATAATTGAAAATCGAAAGATCAGTGTCATTATAGCAAAAATATAGGTTAGGTTGGGAAAAGACCAGTAACTTTAGGTAAAAAAAAAAAATGGTAACTAAGGATTGGGACTGGTGAGTTAAGTTTACAGCTTATTTTATTAAGTGGCCCAGTGGTTATTAATATCGCAGTCAAATCTGAAGATCACTAGTTTAATTCCAATATATCGATTCTGTGCGCAAGATGCATTTGATTTTTTCATTATTCTATCAACGTTAGATGGAAACAAAATATGGGCATTATAGGCAGTCACAAGACCAAGGTTGGTAAATTTTCCTTACGATAAAAAAAATAAAATAAAATAAATAAAAAAAACTATGGGTAGACAAAATTTAAAAACGTCAAATTAACTGTTCCAAAAGTCCAAAATAGTCAGAAGGGTTTAAGCCAATTTCTCTATCAAGCGTTTAAGATTTATATGTTTAAAAGGCCTTCAAATACACAGTCTATATATAATTGTTATATAACCTAAAATACCTTAATTGTTACATTTAACGTTAAAATACTCAACAAAAGACCCTCTGAATTGCTTTTAACTTAAAAAAAAGAAAAACCTTTTGTTTCAAATGTTTGTGACGTGCGAGATACAGTATTTGACTTGGTATAAAAAATAAAGCGTTTCAATAATTAAATATCTAGCCAATCAATATCAAAGTTTCATGACAAATAAAATACATTTTAAGTTTTCAATTTTTATATGACGTCCAGTGATATCCTTTCACATGCGAATATCTACTTCTAGATTATCAGTATTATTATCAACGTGTTGACAATTATTTTACACAAGTAAACAAATACACTGTTAACACGTCTGGTCCCTTACAAATTGACTTACCGTTTTACCTTCTTTATATAATGACTTTAAACATGGTCAATTGTTTAATGACTTTAAACAATTTCACAAAATTAGCATATTCAGAAAAAATATATCTCTCTGAAATAGGAAAAAAATAAAATATTCCCAAGTAAAATATCCGAAAGAATACAAAATCGAAGACTTAAGAGGGATTCAACGAGTAAGCTATCGAAAAGAGGGAAGTTGAGATCCCAGCGTCTCAACCGTTCCGATCCTCTTTTATGAGCCATCGGAATACATAAGATATAAACATAAAACATACAATAGACCCAGTATCGAGCGCTGAGGAATATCTAGAGAGATCTGCAATGAAAGTTGCGCTGAAGGCGAAGAGGGTGAAGATAAAACTTAACAATATCTTCTAAGCTTACACACTTTATAAAATCTGAATGCTTACATCTAACACGCCTGACAATAATAGCTATGTTTGGAATTACAAAAAATATAACATTTTTATGTCACACGGACATACTCAATACAATAATAAAATTTGAGGTAAAGTCTAGCCCCAAAATATTCTAAATACATCAAATCAATCAAAACAAATACCTTTCGACATTAAAAAGGATTAAAATATACATAGGCACTTATTGTCATTAGTAAGGAATTTATCATGTAGGGGAACAGCACGCTGTTTGAATGTGAATCTGTGTCATTTTATTTTATTTCATAAATGTTTGTTACCAGGTTTAAGTACATCTTCTAGACTAAAATTTTCTAGACTAAAGGTATAAACTATTGTAATGAGGATTTAACGTTTTTTTTTTTAATATTTTTACTTTAGTAGATAATAATGAGGATCGTTCAGAGAAAAAAACTATTGAACGTATCTGGGCAAAATATACATTTAGGATTAAGTTTGAGCCTAATGAATTGGTATTTGTCTAAAAATTTACTTCTCTTGATGTGCTTTACTAGCAATACAACAATTTTATAACAAACTCACCCTTTAGTTGTTTTGACACCTTTTTCGTTGTATCCAGCCAGTGCTGAAAAATATAAATTAATATTAGGTTTTTCAGCCATAACAATCATGTATCACTAAAACCGATTTCCCTAACAGCATTCTAATGGACTCGAAATAAATGTATGGATAAGGTAGATAGTGAGAATAACATAATTAGTTTGCTAAGGGTTGTGCTATTTAAAAGCACTTTCAATATTTTCCCCTGTATTACGAGTATTTATTTAAAAATAATAGTTGGCTACACACGTATTCATTAGGAATTAGAAATATCATTAGTTTAAGTTACACATGATAATATAAGTATTAACTATTCATTGTTGTACTGAATGAAAACGTGCAATGATTTAACAAACTCATTTATCCCTCCAAAATATATTATGGATACAGTACTTTTTTAATGAATATTATTCTAATTATTTAGCTATTTTATTAATATAACGAATAATGAAGACTAAATTATAGTTTGGATTTGCAGATTAGATCACATAAAACTTCAGTTATTATAAGGTCAAAGAAAACCCATAGCTGTCCTTAAAACTTGATTACACTTATCATTTATTTTCAAATAACTAATAGAATTTCAGTGAAGAGAAATAACCAGTTAGTGTTACTTTAATGTGTTTACAGTCATTTTTTGATTTATGTAATTACAAGGTAATAAATATTTACTAAAAAATATATATTTCGAATTACTTCAAAAATACATAGTGAGATTATTTATTGTTAATAAAATAACTATTAAAAGGGTTCTTTGTTAACTATGTTTTTGATTTTTATTATTGTTAATAATTTGACGTCATAATTCATAGATAAAAGACTTGTATTTTCTGTAGAAATGGAAGCAGTAAAAGCGAATTTTAGAGAACAGAGAAACACGAAACCAAGAGAATTAACGTAAAAGCCACCCATACACTTAAGCGTCAACACTGGAGCTAGCAAAATACCTCCTCTTTGCTGTTTAAGTAGATTATGTTGAGTATTATACAAAGATATCTCAGATTTTTTTTAATACTCAACATAACTGTTTTACAAACGGTAAAACAGCTGTGATCCAATTGGTGCAAATATTTATGTATAGTCGTATAGTGTACAATAAGTATAATTGGTGTAAAGTTATTGTTTCAGTTATAGCAGCGTGGTATGGTGTATTTGTCTAACGTTAATTTAGCGCAATTTTGTAAATAGAATGTGTCATTCAGGAAAGTTTAGGAATACACATATTATAGAGAAAACTATAAAGATTTAGATACCGAGGGGGAAGTTAGGATTAGAAATATCAGATTGGACGGACACAATCTAAGATTAGTTTAGATTTGTGGAACTCCAACAGCTTAGGGAGCGATATTTTAGATAAATATGAGGGAATGATGTTTATTGAATTGATAAGGTTATAGAATTTTTAGTAACTAAAATTAAAAGGATCTATAGCCAAGACCATTTATCAAAATAGATCTGGTACTGTGTACAATAATCAAATACAAGGTCTAGTGTTTCAAACTACTGATTTTTCTCAGGATCGAACAGACAATCTTTTGATAACTCGCTATTTAAAAATTTTTAATGCATCAAAGACTAACTTAACACTCAAGAAGGCAGAAAAGCATAAGTATAGTATTAACATGACAAGGTCAGCTGGAAAGATGCCTAAGAAGACCAGGAACGTAAAACGTATGTAAACAAATTAGCTTTGTTTAATACCAAAAAGCCACGGAAGTAACTAAAAATAAGTGAAATAATAAAATACAAACAAATCTAAGATAAACCTAACTAAATTTAAACTTCATCAGTAGTAAGTAAAACTAAGGCTTGTGTGTTTCCCAAACTCATGGAGAAAAACACAAATCTCACCCTTATAACATAAGGTCAAATGTTCACTTCAAATTAATGATTGAAAATTTAGTTTTGAAATTATTTTCGTATACCATAACGTTTGAATTTTTGTTGTTTGGCTAAAAGGGAGAGAAAGAGTTTCCAAAATAAGCCCTGGAGACAATTTCTTAAATAGCGGGTGTGGAAGGGTGGGCTTAAGTTTTATGAAGCGAGCTTTATGTGCGGAGCTTCGTCCCCGCCGTGTTTGGAAACAAATCTGTCCTTCCTTGCGAATTTAGGAAACAATTTACCACTTTTCTATAAAAATATGAATACGAACTTACATCTATAACTTTGTTAGAAGAATTATTCTATCATTAATACAGATGTTTTATTAAAAAAGACTAGTTTCAATTGTATAAAATACAACGTAGTGTTGTAATTATTATTTGCTTGGCTAGGGTATACTTTTGAGCAGTGCTCTATAGATCTAACTTATAATAAAGTATTATGGTAATAACACCCATTTTTAGCGAATTTCCTTATAGGTACGACCATCGACTATATAACCACAACAGTTGTAACCACAGTTGTGGTTATATAGTCAATGGTAAGACTCATGGTAACACTTGAGCCCGGGACCGATTTACTTTTCCAATTTTTCACTATACCTTTTTAAAGAGCTTAAAAAAACAAATAATTTAATAACACAATTCGTAACATCCTAGTAGCTGGGTTACAGGACGTTGCCACCGTCACAGTCAAATAAATATTTGATTTATTTTGAGCTATAAATACTTCTACAGTAATTACTCCTAATACTAAACCCACCATTACCTAATCTAGTACAAAAATAACTACCAAAACGTTTAGTAATAGACGACGCTATGATTGCTAGCTCTATGAAACCAACTGAAGAAGCCATTAAGACAATGTACCTATGTTGCCGGTTGCTGTCTGAAGGGGCGTACAAAAGGGGGTTATTGTTTAACTGGGGGGGGGGAGATAAACAGCCCCTGAGTTAACCACTTGAAGGGGTGGGACTTTAACCTCTTGTGGAGATGGTCAACAGTTATTGCTTCTTACCAAGACGTTAATAGTGGGTCTCGTACGACCTTTATCTCCTAGCCCTCCCTTTACCCGACGTCCAAACACATTTATGGAGAAGATGTTTTTGAAAAAACTAGGCTAAAATTGTACCGTGTTACGTGTTTTTTTTTATTTTTTAAATAACATGCACATAGTAAACATAATTGCCAATGACATTTATTAGGTTTAAATATTTAAGTATTTCAGTGACTTTTCGGATCAAATTTTAAAAATAATTCTTTAGAATAGGGATTCATTTTTTATTTTTACTTTAGTCTTACCTAAAAACTACTTTTCCGGATTTATAAAAGAGTAGGCCTATACTTAATTTGTGCCTTTAGACTCTAGGAATTTGTACATTGCATCTATTTGAACTATACATAGCCAACTTTCTATTGAAATAGAACATAATTGAAATTGTTTCAATTTCGAAAACTACACAATATACTAATCAGTAAACAGCATACAAATGATTAAGTTGGTAACATTCTAGAAATCAGAAGGGCAAAACACGAAGATTAACGTAATCCCGTGCAAGGACTGAAGCTAACACTAAAATCTATAAAAAAATAGTATCGAGATGTATGCTAATACATTTCATGGTTTCTAATTTAAGGTTTATACATGAAACAGAACCACACCCACAAATATTATAAATTACTAGTGCACCTGTTGCTCGAATTCGAGCAATTGAAAAGTATTACAGGCGTTATTTCAAATTCGCTTTGAAACAGTCATATTTTCCGATGACTTAAAAAAATAACTCAAAGATAATGTAATAAATCACTCGACTCCAGTTATCGAAACTGAAAACGAACTCACTCTGAAAACGAACGCTCTTGTGTGTATCATGTGTTTACTATGAACAGCTGTAATTAATACAAATTATTCGTCTGTTAAATAAACAAAATCTTTTCATCTTAAGATATACATTGGGGTTTTGAACGCCTGTGGGGAAAAGCCCGAGGACTCTTATTACAGGAATTGGTGAAAGGGGGCGTCTACACAAAAAATACTTAATTTTGACACATCGTTTATAAAAATCCGTCCATTATCAACGGAGGAGTAGTGTTTCGTAGAAAACGCCTTCACGTATTATATATAAGGATTTTTTTCAATTATGAAATTAAAGTTAGCAGCTTCTTTTAACCTTGCAATTGTCCGTCCACATGTGCTTATAAGCCTGTGGGTGTAACGTATTACATATTAACATTTACTATGTTATACAATAAGCTTGACAATGATATAAAATGTAAAGCGACCGGTGAGCCAGTTCAGTAATGAATGAATTGTGCTGAAAAAGTGTTAGCGATTTTTGCAGCGGGCCGAAAATATTTTAATAATTGGCTGCCCACAAGGTTCACAGTCCGCAACGCTACCAATTCACTAAAAAACTAAATCACCACTATCTGAAAACATTGTAGGCAAAGATTTTATTCCGGTTGCTTCGTCTAGTTTTTTCACTGTAAACAATTCTTTTCTAAATGTACTAGATATTTGGCAAATGAAGTTGATTTAAAACAATACTAATCCAACATGTATGAGAGAACTGTTTTGAATTTCGTTTCAAAAATGAATATATAAGACGAACTCTGGAGACACTTTCTAAACATCACGTGAAGACAGTGTAGGTTTACTACGCAAGGTTTATATGAGAGGAGCACTGTAATATAAATTCCAGAACAGTAGCAGTAAGTCTTTGGTAAAATATTCTATCTGTTGAATCAGTTTAAACATTTATTCGTGTAATAAAATAAACTATAAAATTAATTATTATTATTTTTAATAATTTTCAAGTTTTAATATTCCATAAAAACACACATCATAACGTTTTGTGGTATTTAAAACTAGTTTCAAAAGTTATGTTAAAAATTGCCTGCTATGGTTGTCACAAATAAATGTGTGTACATAATTATTTATCTTATAAATTAAATTACCAAGGCAACACTAAATAAATAAAAGCCCTAAAAATTACACAACATAAAAATAAACACGCTTCTTCAGTATAGGCGCAGATAAGTTTATTCTCGGCATAGGTAGGTTATGTTAAACCAGAGAGGCCAGATCAAAGACTCCAACCAAGGATTATACTTCCAGATAAACATTTTGTTAATTAAAGAAACC